AACCAGTGTATTTATAATTACTAATTTCTGATGGCTTACTCCACATTAGGTGTGCTTGTGCATGATCACGTGTATATCGAACCGGTTTCCAGTTACCTTTATCACTCCAACTATGCATATTGCCACCATCGACATCAGGTTCATTTTCAACAAGGTCGATTGCATGCGTACGGGCAACAAAAGCAAGATTAGCAGACGGTTGAAGTGAAGGTAAGCCATGGTTTTCACGATGATCATTGATAAGAGTAAAGATCGTCTGTTCCACTTCATTCATACCATGAAAAGATGATCTTCGAGTTCGGAGAACTACTAATGAAAAGAAATGATGTATACGATTCGTATTATTCACTTATTTTATTCGATCAGGGTGATAGATAATAATATATACCTGTTTCATTGTCGATCTTCATCTCATCATGGTAGTTAATATACTTTCCCATCGTTGTTGATAGACAAGAAAAAAGAGAAAGAATTAGTAAAGTTACCAACGAGTGCATATTGTAATGTGTTCACTGTTGATCTTTCACAGAAAGTTTTGTGAGATACATCGAGAAAGGCGTTTTGAGATTATATATAGTGATAAGATCGAGTACATTTCCCATAAAACGGGATGCGTCCCAAAACATTTTCGTTCTATGTGTCATGGCACGGCATGGGAACTTCTCATTTCATGTTACGTTTACGCGATTTCAATTATTTATAAGTAGTCGAAAATTTACTTTACTGAGATTAAAAATTTAACATATGTATCTGATTAAAAAGTGTATGTTCGTCAATAGAAGTTTCAGAATTCTCTATCCGTTCCACAAAGGGCATTTTCAGACAAACTCTCTGTTTACTAGAACAAAATCTCTTTCTGTTTCCTTTCTGTTCATGCTCCGAGAGCTCTCTGTTAAAGTTCCATCGTACTTTTAATTTTTTTCCATAAATGGAAAAGTATTACATATTTTAATTTACTAATAAGTTGACGAATAACGTTTCCAATACCAGCTCGCTACGAGCAGAATCATGTTAGGTGTGCTTTTGAAATGCTATAGGTTCATAACAAGAACGACCGATGATTCCAGCGCGTTGTTGTAAAAGATTTACCAATAGAATTTCGCTTTCGCATCTGAATATTTTTCTTTAAGTTCTGTGAGGAAGATTACACTCAAAAACATAGGAAAATTGCCTTGGAACTGAATTTTAAATCTGTTTTTCAAGAAGAAATTAAAAAATTAATTTTTCAAACAAACGCCTACAAAAATGCACTATTTTGCAGCATTGAAATGTTGACCAGATATACGTAGTTCTGAAACTAATCACTCAACAGATCTATACATACAGTTTTGTAGAGAATTTCATGAGCTATATTTTTAAAAAAAGTTCAAATATATGCGTCATAATTTGAGCAATATATTGAAAAAATACATAGAGGCTCATTTAACCTAGGACATCCGTTATATCACCATATTCTATTTCAGTACAATGACTTCGATACTCTAACAAATATATAGTTATCCTCAAATTTGAGAAATATGAGTTGATGTGGAATAATGATTCAGACGTCACAAGAATAAATTATATGCCCTTCCAATGAAGAATCTTGGCTATATTGCTTCACAATTGTATCTACATTCGTATATAAAACTTTCTATCGAAGAAATGACACATCAACAGTTATCGGTTTGACATTTATCCAATTGAAAGTGACTGTGACAGAGAAGACGATCGCTAAAGCCGAGGCATTTAACAAAGCACAAAGTAAGAGTGTTCGGTAATCGAGATGGCACTTGGGTGACACTGACGTTGCATAAAGGAACTGCTTAAACAGGTAAATAACATTTTACCTCCAAGGACCTAGAGGAACCCGTTTACAGTGTCATTTGAGGCTACACCTTGGAAAAACACTCTTTGGGAAATCCTCATTGTTTATTAGAATGTAAACCATGCGAATGTTCGCGCTTATCTAGGTATCCAAGTTAGTTATTACGTTAAAGGATACAGAAAGATAATAGTTGTTCATATGACATTATTAAGTCAACCTTTTCAGCTTCCGGCATGCAGCTGGGCCTTTTGAACTGAAATCGAAACCCATCTTACGCATTCTGTGAGACTGATCCTACTTTGTCAACGAATATAATCTACAAACGCTGCATCTAGTTACTCACCATCTGCAGGTATCAAATACAGAGCAAAAAATGGGTTCTGCAGTATGATTTTTGTCTGAAGTTTATAGGACGCTGTATTCGCACTATTTTATTGACGATATTTTCTCATTGCTTTCTTTTGTTCATATCTATACCCTCAATGTGATATTTCGCATAAGTAATACTATGGTCAAACAGGGAAATCCACAGATACTTCGGCTGACATAGCTCAGTAAGGAAAGATGATCTCGAAAAACTACAATGGAGATATTTCAATCACTCGAGTTTTGTTCTCCGGATTTTTATTTACTAAATTATATTCCTTTTCATCTAAAAATAAGTATTGACTAGAGGCTATTTCGATTCAATATTGCTTAATTATGCTCGTCATATGAATGGGATTATTTTGTATTTAAATTATAAAAATCACATTTGCATAGATTGCTAATACCACGGGCTTATTTTTAAGATTATTTTACGGAGAAAGAAAGTCCATTGACGTAGAAAATGGATTTACATATGCATTAGATGAAGGTTTAATATAGTAGACAATGTTATTTGCTTATTTGGGCAACACTTAGAACCACTCATTCTGCCGCGTAATGATATCGATGACTTTTTTTCTACCGGATAATACGAAATTTCGTATTTTAAGAACGAAAAAACATCTGAGTGCTATATAAAGAGAGCAAAGACAGTTTTACGCGGAATATAACTTTCAAATATCGCTAAATGCACTCGATATCATCAATTGTTCTGTTGCTGCTCGTTTTCTCATGTGCACGTAAGTTTGACAATTGGACAAATTCTATATACTTTAATTTGACTGTTCATTAGTATTTGTGGTCACTGTTGAAGCAGCATTTGATGAAGCTTATTATTATCGATGTGTTGCAGGTTGCCGACGCATGCCACTGCCGCAGGCAAGAGCGATTTGTTTTGCTGCTTGCATGGCCAAAGCAACTGGGAAGTAAATAGTTACGGCAAATGAACTTGAATCTATTGTAATCCAACTTCTTTTATCACGTCCTTTTGTTTTACTTTAATAAAAGACGAGATCAGACAGAGGGCGACTGTGTAAAGAACGATTATCTAAAGAAGAACGCAGTGCATTGATTGGTGAATGGTTTATGATTCATACGCGTAGTAGAATCAAATATCTCTTCCATTCTATAAATTTTCACAGTGAAATCATGAATACACGAGTCGTATCGAATAATATAAAACTTCGCCTTCATTATTGGAATATTCGAGGACGTGTTCAAGCGGTGCGTTACATGCTTGAAGATATCGCACACAAACATGAACATGTTGACTATAAGGAAACTTTTGAACCCGTCAATACAATGATGAGTACATGGGCGAAAAGAAAAAGTGATCAAACAGTGTCGGGTCCATTTCGAACTCTACCAGTTCTTCATTGGAATGATTCACATACTTTCAGCCAGTCATTAACAATTGGTTTGTTCAAACAGAGTACAACTGAATTTTTCATCTTGGATTCTTTATTTTAGGACAATTATTAGCAAAAAAGTTTGATTTATATGGTCAATTAACATCCAAAGTCAACGATCAACATTTTCTCGAAACTTACATCGATGGTGTTGTTTCATGTGCATACACAGATATCATATCCAATCTGATTACATGTATATGGAGTACGGTGAATTTTGTCGATGACACAAATCCATCGAATCGATTAACTCGAAAGATTCCAAATGATCTCAAAGCGTTGAATGATTTGCTTGAGAAAAGTTCTACATCATTTTATTACGATCAACATCAACCAACGATTGCTGATTACTTCGTATTTGAAGCGTTTACCATGGCGCGCGACTATTCGAAGAGATTCTTACCCAATGAGGAGAACTATCAATCGTTAATCAAACTCGAACATGTGATGAAACAACGACCGGCAATAGCCAATTATTTCAAGCAAAATTTATTATCGAAACGATTCACGGGTTCACCAAAAGAAACCGAATACATGATAAATCTTACAACGCCACTGAAATGAGATGAGATTCATTTTGATCTTTTTATTTTCACATACAAAAGAAAACTGCACGTTACAACACAGACTTTTGATCGATCATTTTCTAGTCGATTGTAAGGTGGTGCGGTTAACATTAAAATGAATTGGATTGATTCGATTTGTTTGTCGCGAACAGAATATTCGATCTCGAACGTTTCTTCGAAAGCGACTTGATGACATAAGGAATACATAGCAGCTTCCCTGTAAACGAGAAAGAAAACATGCGTAATCATACTGAACAACGGATGAATTAACATACAGCGAAATAAAAGTAAGTCACCATACTTATAACTGTCGATGAAAAATATTCTTTCAATTGTCGATTGAAATCCTTCGCAGTTGCACTTGTAATCATGTTATAAACCGTATGAACACCATATGGAATAATACTCACAATAACAAGTATTATTTGATAAAGCGTCATTCTCACTAACTGATGATCAGCACGAGATCTGGTCAGTGCTTTGGTCTTCTTGATGTTACGATAAGTTAACCATCCAAATATGCTCAAAATCGAACACGGAATTGCACACACCAGCCCAAGAAGATAAAATATGATATAATCATAGTAAGTCGGATCCACAATTGCACAGATTTTCGATTGAATATCGTAGTAAACAAGAATTGGTATTCCATGTAAACAACTGAGAACGACAACGACCAGAACAGTTCGATGTGCACGACGTACACTAACAAGATTTCGAAGATAATTGCTTTTTGATGTAACTAGAAACTGATCAATTGCAGCCAAACACGAACAACTCATAGAAACGATAGTTGGAGTAACAAGAAAGTAGTATCGGAGTTTGCATCCTGCTCGGGAAATACTGGTCAGATCAATTCCGTAAGCAACGCTCAAGATTCGAGCAGAAATATTGAACAAAACATAGAGAAGGTTGGTGATTGATTCGATGAGGAAATAAAACGTACAAGAAGTTCGACGATAAGCGAGAACTTCAGAAAATACAAAAATATTCGTCGCATTGCCAATTGTACCGGCGATGAGAAAGAAGAAGCCAACATAAATTGTAAATTGTTGAGCGTCATACAGCAATGCCATTTGGAGTGTGATTGTCATCAATGTTAGTAGGAGAATGAAGTTGTTTTTCAAGCAAGATTTGTTGAGTGGCAGTACCCTGGTTTCTTTTGCCTATTGTAATTACATACAATTCATGTGAAGTTCTCCAATTCCGTACTTAACCTCCAGGTATAACAACAGCAATTATCATTTCGACCGAACGAAAAAAAAAGTCACAGAGCAAGAATTTATTTCCGAAGATCACATTCTATCTTCATTATTTACTATCTGTTGTTCAAATTTCGATATAAAATACTAAGCATGCTTTAAAAATTATTTTTATTGAGTTGATTTGAACTTTTCGTTCAGTGTGAAACAGGTGCGTCGGTAATAAAGATGGCATCTTTGACGGTCATCTTGGTTCACCATTTAACGAGCGAAGAAAATGGTTATCATTGCTAATAGTATTGATATGCTGTAAGTTGTAAACCTTTTTTAACAGTTTTATAATTATAAGATGTTTGTTGTACTGCCTGTAATACTTATTGCAGGCTTCTTTACTAATTCTAAGTCTCAACTGTTTGGAAGTAAGGGTGTCTAGTTTTCTTCCGTACACACTTAATAACTAATTCCTCTGATTTTTTAGAGCACAGGTATACTACAATTATCACAACAACCACTTCATCACCCAGGCATGGATGACTCTGTGAACTGAAAATATACAATAGGGTGGAAAAAATTGTCTATACACTTATTGACATCCTTTCGAGCAAAGCGTGAGATAGCCAAACTCTTTTATGTTGTTATATAACACACACTCCACAGTCTGCAAATGAATTGCTGATTCGAACTTTCATCCTTTTGATGAATTTCTACAAGATAATACCATCACGTTCTCGGAAACAGCTGGGAAATTTACCAGCTACACATGAACCTTGGAATACTTTCAACATCAGAATCTTTTTACTGATTATAATCTCCGCATTTTTATTGGTGTTAAATGATTAAATGACTTTGAGACCTAATCTAGCTAATCTGAGACTAATGCTATTAGTCTTTTCAGTTCTACCGCATTAAATACAGTTATGCAGGTAATACAGCGTAAATGAAACCGTTTCAGCAGTATATCTTGTGCGCGTTAGACTGGACGAGACACTTATGAGACTGAGAATATTTGATAACTTTTTACCTCGGTATTGACTAATAAGTTCCTGTACTTCCTATGAACATGCAATTTCAACTCTATCTTGAGAGTGAGGATAGTATAAAAAGTGACTTAAGAGCGTAATTCAGAATTTTTAGCTAAAATAGCGATATTCAATCTTACTTATATTAAATCTGAAAGATAAAGCATTTTCGTTCATTAGCTGAGTAGCGAGACTGAAATATATGACTGCCCAAGTAGCAATATCACTACAGCATGGTGCTATGCTTCTCGATCTCGACATGTCTATCATAACCAGTATGAGTATAAGGATCACCATTATACTCTTCGATATGTCGATGGGGCACTAATGTAATATGATCAGCTGGTCAAGTTATTAGTGGTGTATCCAAGGTCTGGCATAGCCTGACACTGCCACACCACTAGGAGTTTTTCTGAAGTCATTGAGATGAACTTCCTCGTTAAGTACACTATCTTTTTAATATATTATTGTGAAAGTGACTTGAGAATAGATATTCGCTAAATAGTAATATCTTCTAAATAGTACAGCTAATCTATTGCCATTGGATAACAATAAAACCAGTTTTTTTATTCTCTCTAGGTAACAATCAAATAAAGAGATGATAGTCCGTTTCGGGGATAATGCTTACATATCAAAATTCCTATTTGAAAGATGGACTTATTCTACAAAAGAATTAAAAATGTGATATACTAAGTTACAAGTTCAATTTCTGCTAATAATGAAAAACCAAAAAACTGGAAAGACTAAAGATTGATTTTAACTCATCAAGTAATATGGTGGGCTTCGAAACTTCTGGCAATATCAATACAAGTTATATGTAGCTTCTGGCTTAAATACCGGCCATTTTTGTGAAGCTGCACAACAGTTTTCAATCAATATTAGTCGCACTAAACGTATAAAGGTAGTCCTAACGTTTGTGAATGGCTCCGGAATAACAGCTGAAAACACGTAGAGAGCCTTCCTACATGAAGTCTATGTAATGAACAGTAGTTTTTTGCACTCTGCTATGCGTTACCTTCTGAATTTTATTACCATTACTGTATAACTAAAGATAACGATTGCGATATATGTGTATTTCATGCTTTGTGATCGACTAATTGGTGTCAGGATAGTGTTGACTGAGTCCAGGAAATAAAATGATTGCTTACAGGCTATAGAAGATTCGTATAAAATGAACATGATCAATTGTAGCTCTGTTAGTGCACAAATGACAAAACCAATACATAAATGTATATTCAAGAATGCCTATTTCTTGTGAAATACTCAATTTTATGAGAAAAAAAGAGGGCAATACGGGAATACCTTTCGTTTAAAGTTAGACTTACATACGACTTTGAAATACAATTGACGATTTTACTTATGCTGAAATGAATACGCGAATTGTAATAAATTTTGTTTCATAAGTCATAATAATAAAGTAGCTATTGCTCAATATAATACGCCATCGAATCTAAATAGATTGAAGCCTCCAAGTATGAGCCAGAGGTGTTCACGGAGCACTTTTTCTGGTCCCGTCCTGTCCTACCTTGCCCTGCCCTGCGCTGCCCTGCCCTGTCCTGTCCTGTCTTGTCTTGTCCTGTCTTGTCCTGTCCTGTCCTGCCCTGCTCTGCTCTGCTCTGTGGACACCTCTGACTTTCGCACACTCTTCCAGATCTTATCAGACAAATCAAGAATAAATATGTTTCTGCCATTATTCACTGCTACGAGACCTGAAAGTTAATTCAAATTGTACAAACGTATGAACGAAATGAATTCTATCTATCAGCCAGATTTCATCATTCAAACCAGACAAGAACCAATGCACAGTTCGAGCATTTACACAAGGACGTGATTCAATGATATGAATACAGCAATCCAATTACTGTATTTTCAAAGTTATAATTTCTCATATATTTAACGCAGATATTACATGGGCCATTTAGTTAGCCTGCTCTTACCCTTCTCTTGTACGCATAAAAGGAGAATATTTGATTGATGGGCAAACGCATGTTGTTTATCGATATGCACACTTCGCGAATCGACAAAATAGAGTTGAATTAGAAAAAGCAATTATTGTTGACAGGTAATTTTGAGTATCTGTCCGTTCTTTCTCTCATTGGTTATCTTCACCTAATATCATTTTATTTACCTTTTTTTTCATAGGCTAAAAGAGCACCATTTGAACGGCATGGTCGTATTCAGTCGAATTGTGGAAACAAATCACTGTTCGTTAAATCAATTTTGCATATCAGAGCTTGAAAATGAACTGAAGTGAAGCGAGAAGAGGATGTCGATATTCTACCGTAAGAAATTATTGATAGAACTTACATATGACAAAGCGAAATAATGTATATTACGTCGAATTTTTTTCATTTATTATCGACCTTTGGATTTTGTTTTGATTACATATACACACGTTAAGGTATCACTTTTACTGTATTTATAAATTACGATCAAATTAACCTGGAGAGATATTTTGAGTACGTTATTAAGAATATGTAGAAGTAATAAAATCATGAAAAATAAGATACAGACATATTGCTTTACAAATAAAAGGTTGTACTTTTATATAATGAAGTATTTTTTTTATTTTTCAATAGATACTTATATAACATTTAGTATGAGTGTGCCTGCTGATTGTTAAAGTAATGGATTTCGAATTAATAACAGTCGAACAGTCATTAGATCATCAACATCGTTCCGATGACTCTAGTACACTATCCGAGCACTTTGAGACAATCCCTACACTTGATAATGATAAATTCATATTGGAAAAGAAACAGCAGTTTGTATTCTTTTCTTTATAATTACACATCTAATGCGTATGTTTTATCAATAGAAAACGTCTGTATCCATGGATCGAATCAATCACGGCACGTATGGTAGCATTCGCTATATTTGCTAATATTTCATTGATCGTCGGCGTACTGGTAGTTTACTTTACGGTACCAAGACCAGGTACGTTCTTCATGCATCTGTTTGAAAGAAATGGCATCTGTATTGTAGATCACACATGTCAATTGAAATTTCAATCAACAATCAAAAGTTCACGTATTCAGAGTTCACAACCACGTACACTTGCTGTTGGTGACTTTGATAATAATCAACAGATTGATCTGGTTGTGGCCAATTCAGGTACAAACACAATTGTCGTTTTCATTCTCGATATCAATGCAACTATCATCAGTCAACAAACATATTCCACAGGTGTACGTTCTCGACCATGTTCACTTGCTGTTGCTGATTTCAATCAAGATGGTTATATTGATATTGCTGTGGCGAATAATGGAACGAACAACATCGGATTATTCTTCAACAATCGAAACGGATCATTTCTCACTCAACAAACGCTCTCTACTGGTTCTTACCGACCGTCATTTGTCGCTGTCGCTGATTTCAATCATGACAATCGTTCGGACATTGCGGTTGTATATTATGGAACCGATAACATTGGTATTCATCTAGGAAATGAAAATGGAGCATTCCAAAATGTGAAAATCTACAGTACTGGCTACGATTCATTTCCGTATTCATTAGCAGTTGGTGATCTGAATAACGACAATCATTTGGACATTGTCGTGGCAAATTATGGTACTAACAATATTGGTATTTTCTTTGGAAACGCAGATGGATCTTTTACAAGTCAACAGATTCATTCAATTTCATCGAATTCGCGTCCAACATCGGTCGTACTTGGAGATCTCAATCAAGATCAACAATTAGACATAATTATTTCTCTTTATGGGAGTAGTAGTATTGGCATATTGTTCAATCAAGGTAATGCGACATTTAGAAAGCAAACCATTTACCTAGCAGATGTTCAGTCTCGTCCACGCTACATCACTGTGGGATATGTGAATCCAGACAATTATCTCGATGTAGTTGTTGTCGATTCAGAAAATGATCGGATACATGTTTTGCCCGGATTTGGTAATACAAGTTTTGATGTAATAACGACTTATGATTCGATCAGTGGATCGCATCCATCAGTTGTCGTCATTGCTGATATTGATAAAGACAATCAATCTGATCTGCTTGTCACGAATTATGATACGAACAGCATAAATATACTCTCTGGTTATTCTAGTCAACCATCTGTTCGACAAATGACTTACTTTGTTGGATACAGTTCTCGTCCATCATCAGTTGTTGTTTTTGATTTTAATGGAGACGGTAAATTAGATGCAGCCGTCAACAATTTTGGTAGAAGTACCATACTTGTTTTCAATGGTATTGATAATGGAAAATTTATTACCGGACAAACATATCCACTAGATAGTGGTTCGAGTCCAAAACATATAAATCTCGGCGATGTCAACAATGATGGTCAAATGGATATGATAGTGACTAATCTAGCAGCTAGATCTGTCAGTATTCTTTTCGGTGCTGAGAATGGAACATTTACGGCTGCGACGTCTTACTCAACTGGTACTGGTACTCAACCATGGCTTACTGCACTTGGCGATTTTAACAATGACAATCGCTTAGATATTGTGTCTCCAAACTGGATTTCCGATGATATGAGTATATTTCTAAATGATGGCAATGGAAATTTCAGCAATATGATCAGATATCCGATCGGTAACGAACTTGAGCCACTTTCGCTTACTGTTGGAAATTTGAATAATGACAGTTATTCCGATATTGTTGTCAGTGCTTCGCAGTCTGGTTCGGTCGGCGTCTTTCTAGGCTATGGAAATGGCACGTTTTTGGCGATGACCACATATTCAGGCGATTGCATCGGTTATGCTATCGTGACTGTTCTTGCTGATGTAAACCGAGACAATTATCAGGACATCATTCGTACTTGTTCAGATGACGGCAATATACTTATTTGCCTCGGAATTGGTGATGGTACGTTTCAACCGTGTTTCGCAATTGCAGGCGGATCTGATAGAAGTCCATTGTACGTGGTTGTTGCTGATTTGAATGATGATCAGCATCCTGACATGGCTGTCACTTGCTCTCTATCAAGTGAATTACTCGTATTTTATGGAGATGGTACTGGAAATTTCACTTTGTCGAGAATATACTCAACTGGTGTCGGTACAAATTCATATGCTCTCGCCATTGCGGATCTTAACAACGACAATCGTCTGGAATACCTAGTCACATATTGGGGTACTGGATATCTAGCAGTCTTGACGGAATATTATGCTGCGCAGTTTTCCAGAGAGCTTACCTACAGCACAGGATCTGCCCCACATCCGCATTCATTAGCAACTGGTGACTTCAACAACGACAACCAAACAGATGTGGTCGTTGCTAATTCAGATACAGATGATATCAGTATCTTGTTTGGTCTCAACAATGGACTGTTCACTACTCCAATCACTTATTCGATTGGCACTGACAGTTCTCCACAATATGTTCTCACGGGTGACATTGACAGAGACAATAATGTAGATATCGTCACTGCGAATTCGAAAGAAAACACACTGAGTGTGATTATGAACTACGGAAATGAAAGTTTTGCTTCACAAAGGAAGTACTCGACTGGATCGGATTCATCACCATCCAGTGTAATGATAGGTGATGTAAATAACGATGGTCGAAATGATCTTGTTATTACAAATCAACAAAGTGATAGAATTGGCATGTTTATTGGATTTGATTATGCATCATTTCAGAATCAAATAACATATTCAGTCGCTAATACCAAACAGTCAACTGGTGTTATAGTTAGTGACTTTAACAGTGACAAACATGTTGATATTGCTGTAGTTTATCAGCAGACCAATCAGTTAGCGATATTTCTTGGACATGGCGATGGCAGCTTCACGTTTTTCACGCTTTATTCAACAGGATCTGGTTCGTCTCCGTATATACTTGTTGTTGCTGATTTTAACAAAGACAATCGCATTGACATAGCCGTCACTTATTTTGGTGGTGATGCCGTAGGGATTTTTATGGGAGATGGAAGCGGAAGTTTTTCCAACCAGATAACAGTACCGACTGGAACCAATTCCAAACCAATGGGTTTGGCTACTGGAGATCTTAACAATGATAATCTAACAGATATTGTTTCGGCAAATCGTGGTACTAGTACTATAAGTATTCTAGTTGGAGATGGCACAGGAAGTTTCGCTCTTCATGCAACCTATTCCACTGGAATATCATCAGAACCCTGTGGAGCCGCTATTGGTGATCTGAATAATGATGGTCGAATGGATATTGCTGTATGCAATTATATGACGAGCACTGTGAGTATTTTTCTCGGATTTGGTAACGGAAGTTTTCAAATGGGTATGCTCTATTTTACGGGTTATCAATCGTGGCCAATATCGATAGTTACAGGTGATTTCAATAACGATAATCGATTGGATGTTTCAGTTACCAATTATAATGGAAATAACGTTGGAATTCTTCTCGGAAAAGGTGACGGTATCCTTAGTAATGTAAGCGTGTATTCAATGGGTGGTGGTGCTGCACCTGGCAGTCAAAGTGTAGGTGACTTCAATAATGATAGAATTTTAGATATTGCTGTTGTTAACTATGGAACGAGTACGATTGTCATCTTACATGGTCTAGGGGATGGAACATTTCTTTTAGGTACTCCCTATTCGACTGGCACGGGAGCTTATCCGTATTCGATAGCAGCAGACAACTTTAATCAAGATGATCAATTAGATTTTGTTGTAGTTAATTTCAACACAAACAATATTGGTGTCTTTCTTGGAAATGGTCATGAACCATTTGCAGGTATGACGACATATTCTATCGCTGATGGATCACAACCGAACTCTATCGCTATGGCCGATTTCAATCATGATGGTTGGTCTGATATTGTTGTCGCCAACTATGGTGCTAATAATATCGGCATCTTATTTGGACTTGGCAATGCAATGTTCAGTTCTATGGTGACTTACTCAACGGGCATTAATTCTTCTCCCTATTCGCTTGCTATCGGTGACTTTAATCATGACAATCAGTCAGATATTGTTGTCACTAATTCTCAAACTGATAATATCGCTATTTTCTACGGTAGTACTAATGGATCATTCACCTTCGCAGCATTTTATTCAACAGGTGCTCGCTCGCAACCGTACACAGTTACAGTTGGCGATCTAAACAATGATAGTAATCTGGATGTGATCATCGCCAATTCAGGAACTAGCAACATCTTGGTACTGTATGGATATGGCAATGGAACATTCGGAAACGAAGCTTCGCATCCGCTGGGATATGAGAGTATTCCATACTCAGTTGCTGTGGCAGATTTGAACCAGGACAAACAATTAGATATGGTTATTGCATGTTATGGTACGGACAATATTGATACATTGGTTAAAATGTGTACTAATTGATTCTTGTTCGTGTTTTGTCTAATAATTGAGTTCTTTTTTAGGATGAGAGTGAGATATCTAGATATAATTCGTGTTTTTTCTTAACAAAGCAATATTAGCAATCAAGAAATTGAACAAACAGCAAAAGCCATGTATAACTGAAAAGCTCTAAGGTTTACACTTCCCGTCGTACTGAGTTCTTTCAGTAAATAACAACCCGACACTGATGTGTTTATCGTCGCCATTTTGTAATAGATTCCTTGAATGTTTTCATATATAACTCAGATGGAACAACAAAGATCACAAAGATAAGTATCGATGGCACGAACGATATGAAATAAGCCCCAAGATACAACCATAATTTTTCTGACGCATTGACACATCCTGGTAGTAATGAAATGACTAAACGAGGTATGGACAGGAGAAGTAAAACTATCGGACTAATAAGCAATTGTCTATGTTCACTAATTTGTTCACGAATATGCATTTTCATACTTCGATTCGATTGTGCTTTTGACCGTTGTCGCGCAGCTCCTAAAATAATAAACAAAGCCGAAAAAAGATTGGCAACGAACGGACCAAGAAGATGAAAGAATAGAATGCAAGGGGGGAAAGCGGTCCCTGATGGTTCGTAGGAACCGTGAGGAACCACTAAGGAACCTTTAGGAGGCATGACATATTCGCAAAATGCGGATATGTTTTACTTTATCAATGCGAACTATGTTGACCTTCAACTTCTGAAACTCTGTTTTGAATATTCAACAGACTGTTTCATTATAATTTATCAGCAAAAGACAAATTAGACAAGCTGTAACTGTTTTTTGATAATGTTACATCGATTCCTAATCAATAGTATTACATTTACTAATACTCAGTAACTGCCAAGGGCATGATTATTTTTCAGTGCATGGGACAATAACTGTTCATCTTCACATTTGTTCGCTTTACATCTGGTAGTCATCTAAATGACAAAATATTTTTGTAGTGCTCAACTATTTTGTGTTAGTGGCAAGATAATGAGAGAGTAAGAGTTACTGCGAGCTTGTTTTATAAGAGCTTGATCTACAAACTGGCTGTTTTCAGTATTAAATAAGAGATTGCAAACAGTTTAAGTTTAATTAGTTGATAGCTTTCGAAAGCAATTTTTTCAGGTGTACAACGTCCTCAAAGGGGCTTTGAATCAGCCGTATTTTCATTTCAATAAACAAAGATAATGAAAATAAAGTGTCAATTCTGTTTATCTGTTCTTTGAATTCTTGATAGTCTATCAGAAGATAGGCAATTTTTAGTCGTCATAAGCAGATGTGCTGCTGTTTGCTTGTGCATAAATTTTATTTTATCGTTGATTCTCACTTGAAAATAGTGAGACTTTTTTTATGGATCGATTTGATAAAAAATTCTCATTCCTTGGTATGTATCTTTAGAAGCTACTATATGGTAATCATTTGAATCATAGCCATCACCACAATTTAGAGCATCTTCCAAATTTGTTTGTATAGTTTCATCAGTTGAATCAGTATTGGCAGTAACACTTTCATCGAAAGTATCATGCAGATCACATTCGTCGAAGTAGGAGTAATCTACAGTTGATTTTTCATCCAGTTTCTTGAAAACAAATGCATTTAACTTATCGAAGTCATTTAAATTGTGTTACTCGAGAATGTAAGATATTTCCAAAGCATTCATCAGTGATTCAGCTCGAAGATCAGCTTTCATGACTATTTTTTGTATGTCGTCTGTTTTCAAGATTGGTGTATTCGAATTATGCACATACTTAGTAATTTCACCAAGTCGAATTTTATGATGAACGGGAAATTTCAATGAATACTCATCACCACAAGCTTCTTCTAAACCCTTCATTTGATTTTAAAAGGAAATTTTCTCTATTTTACTCATGAATTGTAACACTGAGAAATTTGTAATCGTCGAAAGTGTGCCAGTTAAAGCGCGTGCACTACGGAAGGTAGCTTCACAAGGTTGGCTACTGAAAAGATGAATATGAAGTGCATACGGTGGTAGACGCCCTTCAGATACTAATACAATAATCGATGTTAAAGTATGAATGCTGATCTCGGACGATAACGAAGCAGCCTTCGTTATAAAACAATGGTCATTTTCTTTCTGATTAACATTTGGAATGATTTGAACACTGCTTCTACCAAAATCAATACCGAACTGAATGGGAAACGAAGAAAATTTTCTTACCACCACATCCTGTAAGAGAAAGCCACTATCCATCCATAATATAGTCGAGAAAGAATATCAGTATCTTCCTTCACATATGTTAAAATAACCAGTTTTAGTAAATATGGATAAACGAAAGTTGCCGTGGCATTCGTTTTTCTAAGTAGATCTAAAACATCATCAGCCGTTAATTTGACACATGAATAATAATTCTGTCGGTCATGAGGAAAAACATCAGATCTATCTAAATTATGATCGATTTTAGAATAATTTTCGATAAGATAAAACACATAATTTATGTCAATATTTTTATTGTTAATTGAACATGGTTGCGGTTTTTGATAATAGACGGTTTCTAATTTTGGTGACAAGGTAAATACCATCTTGCATACACAGATACGGCTGAACCGTTCTCATGAAAAAGAAGTTCCAATTGGATGGAATGTTAATTTGCAGTAGATTATCGTTTCTACTCAATAAATCAATATTAAGGGCATAAGTAAAGAAGCCTAATGACAACTGCATGGCTTTTAAATAACGTGAATCACAATCACTAGCAAAACCAACAAGATTAACATCTCTGTTTTTCAATTCGTTGTACAAAAAGCTCTATTTTCGTACAACATCCATACCAGTATATTTATTGTTCGTTCCGTAAGCAGATAATATATAAGGTCGCGAATGAACCGTAGATGAAAAATTATTTGGCAATGGTTCGACAACGTGTGCGTTGATTAGCTTAGATTTGTCTAGATCTTCAAACCAATTTTCTAATTCGCATAGACTATCCGTTTTGAATTGATTGATGGATGGTATTCCATTTAACAATGAAGGAGAAAATCCAATTAAGCAGTCAGTTGTGGCATCGTAAGATACACAACTGATAACACTAGTGGAATCTTCAGACTAAAAAACAAAAATTCAATTTTACTGATTGGTTATGTTTCATAAAAATTTTAAACGATATTAAACAGGTAGGGTTTCTGTAATACGATTTCATGAAGCTATCCATTCGACAGAAAGATGTGTTAGGAAATAAAGAGACTGACAACAATTCATGAAAAGAGCAGAACCGACAGTCAGCTGTTTTGTTCAAATCGCTATATTCAGTGACTTTCTGCGCGTCAAATAATGACATTTCGATCAGATCTACTTGAGCAATATCAATATTAGTAAACACATCGTTTCTTTTCGTCTCAAAATCTCATGATTCTACATTATTTACCAAAAATACGTAATTGGAATCAGTTTTATTCAAATACTCTTTAAGAGAATCAAACCGAAATTTACATTCATTAATCTGTACGTTTATCGTTTGATTAAAAGTTTTCAACGTGGTAGCAGAAGGTAATGATCCTGGTAGATTAATTCTGATAAACTCATATGCGTTGTGTCCAGCTAATATATTCAAAATCAATGCAAATTTATTTACAACAGGATAGAATCGATAATTGTTGCAAGATCGGTTCATATTCTCCAAAAGGTTATTAACAAAAATAGTTAAAAATGAATTTGACCGATTTTCTTCATTCACAGATAATTCATCAAATACAGAATGTCTCGTATCTTTCGTCTCATCGTATTTTTGCGATTGAGATTGATCAAAGCTCACGTCCGTTAATGTTGATCCGTAATGTTTCCTCGAGAGAGCATGTACAGAGTGTAAAATTAGCACTTTTTCTTACACAATTCCTTACTGAATCATCTCTTCGCAACTTGTATTTGTATGTGGAAAAGTCGATCCTTGATCACATATTCTGGCCAACGGGATACAAATTGGAATATTTGAAAGTTAACCAATGCACCTATACTCAATATTGCAATCTTCTTCAAGATTTACCTCACCTACGAATATTCAGTATGAAACATTGTATCGTTCATAAAACTAAGAGACTACAAATGTTGAAGTCCACTACTCCAATATACTATCAACAATTGGAATCGGTTTCAATAGAAGAATGTCAATTGACGATAGATGAATTACTATTGGTAACCTCTTTAACACCATCATTAATTCATCTCAAAATAGTCTCAGATATTTCTGATATCCATGCATTTACTTTGGTTACTAATGCCTCTCACTGGGAAATGTTTATTCAGAGGCAATTACCACGACTTCGTAAATTTGAATTTCTCTTTTCATTCAAACATAACTCAGAGAACGAGATCGTTAACCTTGACTCGTTTGTTACTCCATTTCGTACGCCATACTGGCTGAATGAAAAACATTGGTTCATCGCTAGTGCATATGTCATGACAGGCCCAGAGGTTTGGTTGTACACACTACCTCTATGTGCACATGGTCGTGGGGCCGCACCTATGTATGAAATTCCATCGGTAGATAGCGACGGTCATCTAATCGCAAATTGTAAATATGTTTATTCACATGTTTCACCAGAAAATAATGTAAAATTTAATTGATATTTTCTTAGAGATCATTACTATTGATAGCTAAGAACGTGATTATTTATTTAAGCATGTTCAGGAAAAATTTTCTGGTTGTACAGTTGCGTATTCTTATTGCCAGACAGACCATAGTGGATCATATATGAATCTTAAGAACATGACTTTGTAAAGTCCTCAATTGATGCTTTCATAAACAAACAAGTGAGAAAGACTTTTCGATTGATGTTTAATAAACTCTATCAAAATTGTCTATCTTTTTCGTCATAATTGAAATTCTTTCAAACAAAAAGATACCTTTTGTTCTTTTACATGTATTTATTTACCTTTATTTTCATGTTTTTCTCATGAACAGACAGATATGCCTTTTAATCTGCGTCTACACTGCGTGGGAAATGAAGGAGCAAAGTATATTGCTCGTGCACTACGATCGGACGAAGTAAATTCTTGTGACATTACTCTTTTTTTAATCATCTTCTTATAGGCAATTATAGAGTTGAATCTGAGCGAATATTATATTGGATCTGATGGAATTCAATATCTAAGCGATGCATTACGCAAAAACACAGTAAATAACTTTTCAGTTTATTCATATTATTAATCGTTTTTCCTCATGAAACAGATGCTAAAAACACTTTATCTTGGTGGAAATACGATTTGTGACAATACAATTCTTTTTTTAGCCGAATCATTATGCCAGAACAAAGCAAGAGATGATTATTCTCCATATTGGCAGAAATGACATTATTTTCATTATAGGCAATCACAACACTCAATCTGAAAGGAATGCAATTAAGAAATGAAGGAGCAAAGCATATTGCTCATACACTGCAATTAAACCAAGTAAATCTTCATTGCGATGTTGCCGTTTTATTAATAATCTGCTATAATATAGACAATCGCACAACTAGATCTTGGAGGATGCCTTATTGGATCTGAAGGAGTCCAATGTCTAAGTGATGTTTTACGCGAAAATACAGTAAATAACTCTTCGGTTAATTTATATTATTAATCGTTTTTCCTTATAAAAATAGACGCTTAAAACACTACGTCTTGACGCAAATTCAATCTGTAATGATACAGTATTGTTTTTAATCGAAGCATTGCGTCGCAACAAAGTAATATTTGATAGTTCTGTATTTTTATAGAGTTCTTTTCGTTTTGTTAATAGACACTCGTGACGCTCAGCCTAGGCTGGAATCGAATTGAAGACAATGGTTTACGGTACATTACTGATTTGCTTAAGGAGAACAAGGTGAATTATCCATTATTTTAATATTTTCTGTATTTTTTTACATTCTCGTTGCAGACACTCGAAGTACTTGATCTCCGACGGAATTATATCGGATATAAAAGTATACCTTATCTAACAGCTGCTCTAGAACGAAATACAGTAATTAGTCAACTTTCTGGAAACTTTCTCAGTACATATTTCTATATTTTCTATAGACCCTTGCTACACTTGTACTTTGGGGCAATAGAATTTTCGATGGCATTAATGATGGTTTGGTTTCCACTGCTTCAGTGATATCTTGGTTTTACCGTGATTTTACACACAACGCAGTTTCAGATTTCGATTGAATTTCAAAATTTGAGTTTGAAACACATGCTATTTCCTTTCATTATTTCAAAGAGTTTTGTTATCATAAAAAATGTTATCTAAGAGTTGATATGAACTCAATATTAATCTTATTCATATATCGAAATTGTTTGTAAAACTTTAATTGCTGTTCTATTATTTATCGCAGTTTTCTAATCGATAGTTTTTGCTTCGTTTCTTTTTGATTGAATCGAAAGTAACAGGTACATGGGGTTCATTTGATCTGATTCATTTTCTCCCTGTAAAACATCCAATTCAGCACTATTCCAAGACCATCTTCATAACTATCAGTCACTAACACACCATCATCGTCTAAAGGCTGCGTCGAAGTACAACTTATGAGAGACGCGTTTTCGTCTACGTTCTTTGCCTATATTTTCTTAAGCATTTTTCTACAAATTGAAATTATCTACATATCTCAGTGGATGTAATTAAAAACCCATTATTTATATGCACAACTGAAGGATTTCAGTCATGTTAAATGAGACAACCATATTGAAGAGAAATTTACTCATTTTTGGAAAAATCAGTGCACATAAATATACAACAATAGATCAATTAGGAAAAGCTGATTATAATACCCTTAAACCGCGGTGCAAGTAAAATATCTTTTGGAAATTTTCGTTCTAAACGATAACAATATAAAGATTCGAATCCGGATTAAACTGTGATTTCACTCCGATGTACGTCGTTGGCAAGAGGACAGTTTCTTCATTTTGAAAATGTGAATGTGCACTTGTATTTCTTCCATTGATAATTTCAATTCATAAAAATGTTAGTTCATCGTTTTTATCTAAATACCTATCATTTTCAAGTACATAGTTAACATTGCTGTATTCTCCTGTCCGGAAAGCCCGTGCAACTATATCAAAACAGTGAGTTTTAGTCATTCCTCTCATAGTATCGTGTGGAAAACGAATTTTTCCAAGAACCATACCGGCTTTTTCTGTCGACTGCAAGCTTTTCCAAGCTTAACATCAGAAAATCAACAATAGAGTGCTCCCTGAGGTTACTATATGTTCATTCACATGAAGCAATTTCTTCATGATAGGAGTTTTGAATATAACGACGAAGTGATTAGAACCGTTAACGACTACCTTAGAAAACTCGATCCAACGTTTTTTTTCTGATGATATACGCGCTTTAGGCGATCGTTGGCAACGTGCAGTTGCTAGCGATGGATATTACATATAGTAAATATGATGTTTGCTATGACACAGTTTCGTAATATAAGTTGCACGACTTTTTCGGACAAAGAAATATATTCACATTCATTTATATTTTTGCCTCTACTAGTACAGAACAATCCTATTTGTTTTATATTGTGAAAGAAATTTTGTTTCATTTCATTTTTAACTTAATTTCTTATATTCTATAGTTACTGTACTCCTTAATTGATAAATTCTTTCTCTAATCGTAGCCAAGTTTATTCATTTGCAGAGAAATACTAGCTACGTGAATTGTGTAAATACAATTCGTAATTATTTGGAAAAAAAGATTTTTGGTTTCTAAAGAGAAAAACTTTATGTCATTAAATTAGTCCATATTTTCGGTATATAAATCCTTCTCATTTGCCGTTCATCGTTTATGGCATCTGTTCCCTCTCTTCTATATTCGATAATAGAGTAAAATTGGATAATATTTTCGGCTGTAAACGTCGCATTTTGAACACACTGACTTTGACAATTTTGCGTAATCGTTTGATTATGCAAAACAAATGCTTCGAGTCGACAGACATATTTCGTATATATGACTGAATTGGTAACTCGAAGCAATTGTAACAAAGTTTACCCAGAACGAGAACTGCTATAATATAAATGGTCCATATTCGTTTTTCAAAAACAATATTGGTATTATTCGGTTTCAGGTATAGCATCATTATTAGTTGAACTGGATAATGTAGCATGTATGCAGCATAGGTCATGTTTCCAAACCAGTTGAAGACGCGAAAACTAATTCTGTGAAATATACATAGACTGAACACAAAAATAAAAATAACTACAAGGGTTGTTGCTACCAATAAGGTGTAACATAGTTTATTCAATGGACCAAGACGAAAACGATTATCTTTACGTAGTGCCAATGTTATAAGTAACAAGATTATGAATATCATTGTGTAAAATTTATTCTTGAACGTGTCTAGTATCTGCAAGGCTAAGCAACCGGTAAAAAAGAATGCGCAACAATCATTGGTTTCGTGGCTCGCAAAGATAATATTGGTGTCTGCGACATACACACTAATAATCCATACAATAAAAGTTCTTGGTAAGCTTTTCAATACTTGACCAGATGAGAGAAAGAAAAATAAGAAATAAACCTGAATTTCTGTACTAACACTCCACGATGGAGCATTATAGGAAAATTTATAATTTGGCTTCCATGAATGAATAAAAAACATATTTTCAATAAACGCTTGTTTGGTATTGTTAGAATATACAAAATTTGCTTTGTAATGGTTATAGAAAATATGATGTAAGATAGCCACAATAATCAACGACAGCAAATGTAGAGGATATAATCGAGAAAATCGATTGATAACATATTCTTTTAAAGTGACTCGTCCTTCACTAATTCTGTCGTTGTAGATCTTCATGAATGTGGCTCCACTAAGTAGCCAAAACGTTGGAACAGCATACTCCTCTCCAAGCTCAGTGTAAATTGGTTTTATATCACTATAGTAGGGCATTAAGGGTGAGCAGCTCGCCGTACTTCCATTACGCGCAAAAAATATGCAGAAATGTCGATAATGGAAAATGGTTACCGTTACAGCCAAAATAAATCTCAAAATTTCCAAACCCTTCAAATGATCGATGTAGGCTTTTTTCGACACTACTACCGTCGACTTTGAGTTATGAAGTGAATTATCGTGAGAGATAATTGGAGAAGCAATCTCTGTATTCATAAATGTATGACTTCTTTTCCCAATCTATGGTCGTTTCAGGGTGCGAAACTCTAAAAAGAAAGTGCGTTATAGATTCAACCACAAACACTTGTTGAACTTTTTTTTCTGAAATTACAAAAGAAAGGACTCGTATAGGACTTAAGGGTGAGGGTATGTAGAACTAAATTTATTTCTATATTTGTAGATTCATATATATACATTTATATTTATATTCGAATTGATATTAGTGTACTAGATATCCATCTATTATATAAATCGAATTAGGCAACTCATGTCTTGAGCTCAAGTTCTCTACTATCTGTATCAAAGACTTTGCTTATAAGATGCTCGGCTACCATAAAAGACAGTGCAATAAAATATAAAATATTTACCGATATTTTGCTAAACACTGCAAAGAAGTATAGACGTTCTGCGCTCGTTTTTGATGTAATATATTTCAGTTGTGGCTGTGTGTTTGCGAAAATAATCACTTCGGATAAGACGCACATGGATGGAGGTTTTCGTGTATCGTATTCTTTTTTTCTTCAGTTTACATAGGTATAGCATCGTAGGACGGTATGCTTCAGTGCACACATTTACAATTATGACATAGACAGAACAGTATATACCTATGACACGAAAGAGTTGGTAAAACGGAAGCAAAAGATGGCATATTATGCCCGATGTGTAGAAGGTAGGGTGAACAATCCGTTGAAAGAATAATGCAATAATTCATAAAAAATTAATTTGAATAAACAACAAAAAAGTATTCCTTTGAATCATTTTTCAATAAGTTTTAGATGTTGTTTCATCTATTTTTTAACATATCTTTGTATAAACAATTCAATATTCTTTTTCTTTCTCTTGCCTGACCGAACTTGCCCAGCTTGGAAGTTCATCTTTTCATGGCAATCGGTACAACACTGCAGTTGATCATGTTCATTCTACGTGTTTGGGAGTTACTCGTTCTGATTATCATGGAACATGTTGCTATCATACACTCTTCTTTTCATTTCCGCAATCAGGTTCACCCACCCTCGAGAGAAATGTACGAAACAACAGCAAAAATTGGTCGTAAAAGGTAAATTGAATGAAAACATTCGTTTAACCATTGCTGATCGCGAAGAAGTTCTTGGTAAAGTTTTACCGGATAAGACGTATAGACTCTTACAACATTGATGCTTGCTATGATCATTTCATATGTAAGTCTCTATAAAGATGTTTTTATCGATACTCTCAACAAATGGCAATCATTGATGTCAAAATGCAATTTTATACAATAAGGTTACATGAAAATGTATGACAGAAGTTAACAATCGTCAGAATAGTCATTGAGCACATCTACGATCTGTTTTCACATTGTTCCTCGTAGATTTCAGCACATTCTCCATGTACGACGTACCACTTTCCCTCTGCATTTCGACAACCTGTCTCCTTGCAATACCACCATACTTGCAAAAATTCTCCTTTGTCTGTTTTTGATTCACAAACGTCACAAATATAACGCTGTTTTGTATTGCACCCTATGCACATTGATAATGGATGTTCATGCAGAGAAACTTTTCGCTTCAAATTCCTATCTATTCCACAGCCAATTTTCCAAGTTTTTCTGTTCATTGTGTACCAAGAACAACGAATTGCGTTCGGTATGTTAGCAAACATTATTATAAGCACATGTTCCGCTTTGTGACGTTGTTGGATTCGATCACTACCGATATCGCTTGCCTTTTTACGAATGGAATCGCGTAAATGCCGATCGTCCAGTTGCGTGATCAATTCATCTGCATGTTCACGGACTTTATCAATACTAGTGACCCTTAATTTACTGATCGTCTCAAGATATTCTTTTCTAGTTAAACGCTGTCTCGCCTCTTCACTAAAATCACTTTGTCCCTTCTTGCTGAGTAGGCACTAGCAACGACGAATTCTATCGATTCGTCTTTTAGTTTAAGTGCTTGTATCACGTCGGCTTCTTCTGCGCGCTTTTTGGCTTCAGGATTCTTGTGATCGTATATATGATCCGATTTGTTTCGTACGATAATGATTCGTTTCTTAACGATTTCGCGAAGTTTATCATCAGAATCATTCTTGTATTTGTCTAAGTTGGACTCTCGTACACCTTTTATGAGTAAATCCAAGATCTTCTCATAAGTAGGTTTGAACCCACTGAGAGCTTTTTTATCTACTACAATTAGATAAATCAGCATCCGTTTTGATAGTTCAACAATCAAATTTTCAATATCTTCCAATTCGAGTCTTCGGGAGGACTTTCCTGGGTGTTGGACAAATAGTCGCCGTTTCGCTCTAACAACAACCTAACTGAGTCCGGGAACATCGATGAGTACCAAGCGAATACCTTCAATGTTATGGTTTTGAATTAAACCAGCACGAGACACAATGGTGGTTCCATTTTCCGTTCCTATATGAAAATTCAAATTATCAGTGAGACCTTGGCAAATAGAAGATTTACCACCGCCAGTGCCACCCAGCTGCATGATAATCACATCGTGCGGTTGAAATTCGAAGCGTGAGGCGTCATTTGCTTCGTCACTGTCTGTTATGTTGCATGATGAATGTTCTGGCACTGCCCGAATAATAATGTTGTTTTCGTCATCGTAAAGTCGAAAAATAACGTCTTTAACATTTTTCTCCATTACACTTCGTCGATTGCTGTTGATCCTAAAATGACAAAGGTCTTTTAACGATTGATTTATAGGAATACTAAAGAGTGTTGGCGGTGTATTGCGGCGAATATCGTGCTATAGTTTTCTTATACTTGAAGGTGGCAGAATGAGGAAAGTTATACGATACTAACTCTGGCATTTCACTCTCATTGATACTTGTCGTTTCTGGTTGCAATGGTGCATTGGATGATATTTGTTCAACAGAGGACGAAACCGTTTGCTGTATAGTCATCGATATACCCTCTATATCAGATTTCGAAGCTGTAGGTGTAAGTAGTTCACTGTAATCAATGTTAAATGCTTTGATTGCGTTGGGACGGTGCCATCTTGAATGTGAGTAGCGTTTCGTTGTTCAGTTTGCCATCAGACTCCCATCCTGGTAAAGAGTCAATGCCTGTTCAAAACCAAACTGTGCCGTATTGATTTAGTGCTTGCCAATATTGCAACATATCCCATCCGAAAAGCACTACCAAAGACAAGCTAATACTTGGAAAAGGAAAGTTTGGGTGGAAAACTAATGCATAGATCATTTGCGTCGTTGGTTCGAAATGAAGATCGCGAACTTTGAATGTATTTCGACTATGAACGTAGAGTATGAGTACGCTTAGATAGCAGGCAATTAAGCGACCAATTAGAATCCAACGAGCGTTGTGACGTTTCGGCAGTTCAATATTTGCAATAAAACGAAAAAAGCCGATAATTTTTTGTTTTATTTCTTCTAAAGTTGAATTCGATAGTTTTTCCGGACCTAAACTTTTGATTGCTGTCCAGAATATTTTATCGTGTCAGGTACTATTCAGCTCGAAAAACAGAATAGTTAGAACAATTTTGCGGAGAACATATATTGGTTGTCTTGGTGCATATCCAAGTGTGGTCACCAGTATAAGAAGTATAACATCATACACCATTACAGTGGATTTTGATTGAGTATCGTTGATCGATCTTTGCTGTACGAAATGAATAGATAAGATAACTCATACAATAGCCAAAATTAAAGAAAGAACAAGTGGGACAGGTGGTCCATTGTCAAATGAAACCATTTCATATTGATAAATGAACAAAAAATCAATAAGATCAATCAGTGGTGGAATAACTTGTATGAATTTGACAAGAACTGTGTAAACAATAATTATACCATAAACAGGTGTAACGGGTGCGGCAGAATAAATGGCCCTCTCAGTATTTTGGTGGCATCTCCTTTAGTTTTCATCTGATTGGGCTGTTTTTTTTTAAAAACGCGCCGTCTTAAGCTCTACAAAACTAGCTCTTTAAGCTATAAAGTAATTCTATATATATATTTTTTCATACAGTAAAAAGTAAAGATCTCCAAAACATCGTATTTTCAAAGTATCATAATGGTGATGCACTTACAAAAGTTTTTCGTGATTTAAACGGCGGAATTGGATTAAGGACAATTAAACGATGGTACCAAATGATCCGTCAATCCGGTTCTATCACATTATCCAGTCCAACGGGTTGTCCGCGTTTGGCTCGAACAAAAAAGAACATTCAAAAGGTAGAAAACCGTTTACGCCGAAAGAAAAAAGTATCAGCTCGACTACTATCAATGGAGCTTGATATTTCTGACAGGAGTGTTCGGCGAATATTAAAAACCGACTTAGGACTACGTCCTTATAAAAAGGTTATCGAACCATCACTTTCTGATGATCAAAAGATGAAACGGAAAAAGTTTGCGAACAAGTTCGAACAAATTTTCGAAAAGAAGAAACCATGAGGATTCTTTTTTCAGATGAGAAGTTTTTTGACATCGATGGTGTCTATAACTCTCAAAATGATCGAGTGTGGGCAGTTGATCGGGCTGATGCCGATAAATATGGTGGCATTAAGCAGAAACGAAAGTTCCCACAGAAAGTAATAGTTTGGTTGGGTGCTTGTTCCAAGGGTGTCACACCCTTGGTAATCCTAGAGAAAGGGACAGTCGATCATGCTGTTTATATCGAAAAAATGCTTCCTGTTGCATTAAAATATGGGAATCAAGTTTTCGGTAGCGACTGGACCTTTCAACAGGATGGCGCAACCTCCCACTCGCACCATTTAAGTCAACAATGGTGTCGAGACAATTTTCCCTCATTTACTGACAAGGACCATTGGCCTGGCAATAGTCCTGATATGAATCCCTTGAACTACTCAATTTGGAGCGAACTTGTCAATGCTATAGACTGGAACAAAGTCAAGTCAAAAACAACATTAATTCAGCAATTAAAATCATCAGTTAAAAAGATTCGTGAATCAGTTGTTTTTGAAAGTTGTGATAGTTTTACTAAACGATTGTGTCGCATCTGTCAAAATGATGGAAACTATTTTCGTTAATAAAAAGAATACTGTTTTGTAGAGCTTAAGACGGCGTGTTTTTCAAAAAACAAATCAGCCCAATCAGATGAAAATTGAAGAAGATATCGTCAAAATATCGAGAGGGCCATTTATTCTGCCACACCCGTTACAATTTACTTCACAATTTTAAAATATCACTGCAATAGATAATATCTATATAATACCAGTGGATACTGATCCAATTCTATGCAATTTACAATGACAACAAAACCAATGCAGAGTTGCTTCATATTTCTTCTTTCAAGGTATTGGAACTTTTGCTTCTCTCTGAACTATATCAACAGTAGATCTATTTCATTCTAGGTCGATAGGTTTGTTCACAATTTCATATTATATGTTCATCAATGAAATATAATTGTCTTAAATATTTGCAGTTAACTCTCAAATATGTGACAATACAATTCCATATCGTCGATGTTCAAGTAATAGTGTTTGTAAATATTATCCGATGGCAGGTGCTAATGATGTTAGCGTTTGTACTTTTATTTTGAAACAGTGTTCTCAACTTATTCCATGTGGATCATCACAAGAATGTTCGCATCCAGATTCCTTTTGTATCCATCATAATGGATGTGGTAACTCTCCCGTTTGCTATCCATTGTCAATGATTAACGAAAATATTTGTCCACCATTATTGGCTGGTAAGAAGAAAATCTGTTTTTCCCTTTTCTGAAGGAAAGGGCTATACAGCGCTTAAATGCTGTGCTAAAAAGCTTAAAGTTTGTCTGTCTGTCCTATCCAATCAGAAATCAGCATTTCTAAAATCAATGAAATTGATCGATCGTCCTTAGAAAATGATTACCGGTAGGATAATCGAGGTCGGGGAACTTGAATCTGAGGTTAGATTTAACTAATCATTAACTATTAATTAACTAGCTGTCAACTAGCCATAAATTATTAATATNTCGAGGATCTCGAATCCGGTTTGTTTTTTCATGAACACTTTCTAACCCGTTTTTTGGGACAAAGGCTCAATTTTTTAGACGATAATGTTTTAAGCGGCAATATGTAGAACAAAATGTAACAGCTGACTGACGTCGGATCGCTGGATCTCCATAGTCATCAGCATATTAATGCGATCACACACTTTTAGGAAGAGTGAAAATGTACATGTAACGGCTAGCCGCGAGTAGCTGACCGGAGGGAGACCGACGAGCGACTAGTCGTCCATTTGCAGAATAATATTTTTAAGAACAAACTTTGTGATTTTTATAGAGCTTTAAGATTTCTTGGTCAGAAATTAATCGTTGCTCTGCACGAACATAGGTGGCAGCCATTTAAGGTTCCTCGTGGTGGAGAGAAGATTGAAACCTTTTCCAAAGAATCATATAGCTATGTAAAGCTTCTTAGTTTTTGATTATGAATT